ACACACACACACAAACACACACACACACACACACACACACACACACAACACACACACACACAACACACACACGCACGCACACGCACACGCACACGCACACGCACACGCACACACACACACACTCACACACACACACGCACACACACACACGCACACACACACACACACACGCACGCACACACACACACGTTCTTACACACACACACACATACACACACACACACACACACGCACAAATACACACACACACACGTTCTTCTACACACCGACCCTGGCCTGGCCCATCTTGAGCACGGAATCGGTGCACATGGCTCCCTGGCCAAGCCAGGGGGGCGTATGCACCGACCCTTGTCCCAGGACCCTGACATCCGCCGATGTGTTTTTGTTCAGCCCGCGTCCTCGGGAGTTCCCGACCGCTTCCCGGGGGGTAGCTTGTCGTCCCCGAGTCCATTTCTGATGGTCCTGGGGTCCGAAAACGGGTCCCTCGTGCCGAAATCAAGGGAACAGGCACGGTCGAAAATGGCATGTCGTCCGAGACGTGGGCATGCACCGATGTTGGCCCCAGGATGGGCTTGGCCAGGACTGGCGCATATGCCTCTCTTCCTTCCAGGGCCCCAGGGCGGCGACGCCGCGCTCGCGGATTCGGAGAGGGACCAGGCGAGCCTGAGCCGCGAGTCGGCGCCGAGGCCCGCGGGTCGTATCGGCCCCCCCCCCAAACCACCGGGATGACCGCGGGGGGTGCCCAGGGGACAGGGAGGTTATAGGTGGATGCTAACGTGTGTGATATCTGGCGCGCAACAGCCTATCCTGTAGATGGGCTGGAAGAGTGCGAGTGGCTCAAGATCTGGACTGAGTGGGCTGCGCCCGCTTAGCGGGATGGTCGAACCCACCCAGGCCACTTAGGGCACCTGTGGCCCACGTGCAAGCTAGTCGACACCAGATATCACCCACCTTCGCATCCACTTGTAATCCCTCCTATTCCTTCAGCAACCCCCGCGGCCGTCCCAGCAGACATCCGCCGAAATGTTGTTCAATGTGCGCGGCCCCAGAAATCCCACCCCCTTCCCCTCCTCCTCCTCCTCCTCCTCCTTCTCCTCCTCCTCCTCCTCCTCCAGGGCCCCAGGGTCGTTTTTTCGCCCCGGTTCATTTTTGATGGTCCTGTGGCCCGATGAGAGGCCCCGGGGGCTGAAATCGAGGGAAAGCCCAGATTGAAAAAGCACCACGCCGTCGGGGATTCGGACTCGCGTCGTGGAAGAATCGCTGCAGGAAGGTGGTTGCAGTGGTTGCGACTTTCCCCCCCCCTGTGGGGCCCTCGCCCAGCACGGGGACCGTCAAAGAGTGGTCCAGGATGCAGAGCCGGCATTGGGCAAGGGGTCGAGACTTCTGGGGGTGCGTTGCGAAAAGATCATGACGCCAGGGGCCTGGGCCCTGTGATGGCCCCTCCGCTGCTCCGGCTTCCGCAGCCTTTCTCTCCTCCCTCTCGGGGCCTCCTTCGGGGGCTTCTTCCCGTCGCCACGGCTGGATCTGCATCGAGAAGCGGGGCCGGATGGGCCACGGGAGTGGTCCCGGATAGATATTTCACGGATTTGGGGTCAGGAGGAGGAGGAGGAGGAGGAGGAGGAGGAGGAGGAGGAGGAGGAGGAGGAGGCCCCCGCATCCTCCCGTCGAGGATCGATCACCACGTGCGTGTCTCGATTGTTCTCGGCCTCCAGGGGCCCCCTCGCCAGGCCCAGGGAGCGTCAGACAACGGCTCAGGATGACAAGGCAGCGTCCCGGAGAAGAGGTCCGGAACTTCGGGCCTTCCGCATGGAGAGAGCGAAGACATCCGAACTCACCATCGGCAGTCCAGGGGGGGGGAAGGGCATTGCACGCACTCCAGCCGCCCTGGCACCCGGAGACGCTCGAGACCGCAACCGCTGTTAGCGCTCGGGGGGCGAGAGTCGTGTGCACACACACACACACACACCCACACACACACACACACACACACCGACCCTGGGCACGAGCCCAGGCTGGGCCGGGCCCAGGCTGGGCCGGGCCAGGGCCAGTGCCTGGACGCGCAGCTCCCCAGACATCTGCCGATGCAGGCCGGCCGCTGGGAGCAGATGTACTCCTGGCGTCCCAGATCTCAGTCTGCTTCTGGTGCCCTCCTGCCTCAGGGATCGACCGGTGTCCTTCCTCCCTCCTCTTCGGGGGGGGGGGGGGGGCGGAAGCCCCCATCTACTTCCAACGCCTTCCTACTTCCTGCTTCTACCCCAGTTCTTCCGACCAGCGTGTGTGGATTTGCCCATTCGCGGCCCCAGAGGTCCCGACCCCCTCCCTGGGCGAGCTTTCCGCCCGAGGCTCATTTGGGACCGCCCAATGGCCCGACAGCAGCCAGCGCACGTGTGCCGTTCTCGTCCCCATGACTCCCACGCCGCGACCTGCCAGCAGCGCGCGCCCGCGGGGAGAGCATGCCGCGCGTGGACCGACGTCGATGCTGAGACGAGCACAGGGGCCACGATGCCTCTTTTGAGCTTGAGCCGGCCCTTGTTGCCCACTCCTGCCCACCCCGTCCCGTCCTCGGGTCGACTATGGGAGTAAGAGTGACCTCTCGCCGGAGGGACCTTCGGTGCGGGCACAGACGGGCCCCCAGATGGCCGAAAGGGGAGCGGCGGCAGCGGCCTGCGCGCTCGTGTCGGCCCCCCCCCCCCCCCCGCGGCCCCAAGAAGCCGCGCACCAGAGGTCACTCTTACCCAGAGGGTCACTCTTGCGTGTAGCCGATCGGGGGCCACGGTGCTTCTTTTGATCTTGAGCCGGCCATTGTGCTCCTCCTCCTCCTCCTCCTCCTCCTCCTCCTCCTCCTCCTCCTCCTCCTCCGCCTCCGCCTCCTCCTCCTCCTCCTCTTCCCCCCCCCTCCCCCTCCCCCTCCTCCCTCCCCCTCCCCGGGACAGGCTTCTTCTCACATCCCGAGCCGCTGCCCGCTGCTCCTCCGAGAGGCCTGGGCCCTCCGAGAGGCCCGAAAGGAGAAGCTGCCGCGAGGCCCCTCCGCCGCCCCCGCCCCAGGGGTCTGCCGGCCAGCTGCCCCCCGGAGCCCTGCCGCGGCCCGTCCTGCCCCTTGGCATCGCTCGGACGTGTGCATTTTTTCCTCGGCGAGAACCATCGAGGACCATCCTGGACCATCGAGCAAAGAAAACACGCACGAAATCGAAAAATGCACGGGAACTGGACGTCCGAGCGACGGCAAGCTGCCGGCCAGTTGTCCCCGGAGCCCTGCCGCGGCCCGTCCATGCCCCGCCCTTCGGGGCGGATCCCGCCGAGGCGACGATCAAGCAGTGGCGAAGCGTCCCGGCTCGCCTATAGCCCCCCCAAACAATGTTGTAAGAACCTTTTTGCGGTCCCCACGAAGTGTTCTTAGAGCATTTCTGGCTGGGACTGTCTTGTTTTAACACATCGGGCTCATGTTCTAAAAAAATTGTTGGGGTTCTTCGAACATTTCTGGGTTCTAATAAAATTTCGTGGTAGGACTATAGGAATGCCGGGACGGTCGGTCCCTGCTCAAGACGAGAAGCCCCAGGGCCCCCAGGAGGGCGGGGAGGCGCCAGGGAGGACGGAAAGCCGTCCGTGGCCCTTTTCTGTTCGCGGCGTTGCGTGGAGGTCCGACGCTGCAAGAAAATGGCAACCTCGCGAGGAGTCATGACGGGAGCCCTCATAGACCCCACCCTGCGGCATCTTTCGAGCTGGATCGGTCTGCGATTGTCCCTGGGACCGAGGAGGCAAGGATGCAAGGGTGCCCTTGGGAAGGTTGCCCATCCTTCTACGCGGGTTGAGTGGACGCCCCCCTCCGGGGTCCGGCCCGAACTTGGGCGCAGACGCCCGGGCGCAAGAGCATGGTGACGCCCGGATCTCGATGGCGGCGGGGGGGGGGAGCTCTTCGCCCCCGCCCCTCTTGGGCCCTGCGCCCCCCTTGGAGATCCGACGCTGAGGGGGAGGGAAAACAAAAAAAACAAATAACAAAAAAAAGAAAAAAAAAAAAAAAAGAACAAAAAAAAAAAAAAAAAAAAAAAAAAAAAAAAAAAAAAACGCCTCGACGGATCGTGACTGGAGCCCCCGGCCCCGCCCTGCGGCACCCGGGGCCCGCAGCTGGGCGCGAGCGCCCCTCGCGCGAGACAGAGGGCAGCGCCGCCTGGGGCGCTTCGCTCCTCCCCTCTTGGGTTGAGTCGGGCATGTCCCCCTACAGGAGGAATATTCAAAAATAATGTTAAACAATACTCAGGGGACGTTTTTTTTGACTATGTCCGACCATTTGGGGGCATTTTTTGGGTATTTGTCATTTTTCGTCCAAGATCCCCCTGTAGGAGGACAGGCCCGACTTAACTCTTGGGCCGGCCGCGGCCCCCCGGGGCCGCGGCCGGCGGAGAGGCGGCCCCTGCAGAAGACGCCCTCGCTGATGGGCGAGAGCGCCACGGCGCTGGCGAGCACCGCGAGCACCAAGGTCTCGGCGCCGGCCTGGCCGCTCGGCGCGAGCAGGATCCTCCCCGGAAGCAGCGCGCTGCGGTGGGGGCGTTGGTGAAGGAGTGCGCCCAGGAGGCTGCAGACCCTGGAGGAGTCCTTGTCTGATCAGGGCGGCGGTGATATCCATGGCCAGGCCTCGATTGGAGTTCCACTGGTCTTCAGACCCTGGATTCCTTATCTGAGGGTTCCTCATCCAATGTCCCCACCGTATCTGGGGGGGAGATGCTCGGAGAAGGAAAATGTGCCCATACCTCTACCCTTCCCTTGTTTTCCTTTTTTTTGTTTCGGCCTCCTGGGAGGCCCTCGTCGCCACTAGTGGATTCGCCTCGAAATCCTAGTCAGAACGCATCCTGGGAGAGGTCTGGGGTGTAGCGGTATCGGTACACATGGTTCACTTCCAATTATTCGAAAGTTCTTTGATTTTGGGGGAACCAAGATCCTTTCATTTCTAATTGTTCTATCCTGGGCCTCTTCCTGGCCACTCGGGGGCCAGGAACAATTGGAAACGAGCACAATTAGAAATGAGCAAGATTAGAGAAGAACGACGTGTACCTTCTGGTTTCCCCGCGAAGCAGCCTCGTCTAGGGGGAGGTGCAGGCTCAGGGAGGGGCGCATCGACCCCAGTCGCACATTCCTCGCCGATGGGGTTAAGTCGGGCCTGCCCAGGGGGAATATTCAAAAATAGTATAAAAATAGTCAGGGGAAGATTTGTCCACCATGATTGTTTATTTTTGGCATATGTTTCGACTATTTTTTATTGTTCGTTCAAAACACTCGCCTACAGGGTGACATGCCCGACCTAACGATAGGGGCCTGTCAGCCCACCCCGCCCAGGAACGCCGCGCGGATTCGCTCTCGGGGAGAGCATGCTCCTACGCATGACATCGGTGCTTGTGAGAAAGGCCCGTTATGAGGCAATGCCACCTCTTGTGACTGAGCCCGCCGTGGTGCCGTCTCGTGCCCACCCCGTCCTGTCTTCATGGACTTAGCATCCCCCTACCATGGCGGGATGGGAAGACGCATCGCGATGCATCACCGATAGATCGGCGCTGCATCGCCGGTTCCGAGTCGGCGCTTCCCCCCCGAAGCCAGTCCCCCCCCCCCCTATGTCGTTCCCGCCCAGCCCAGCCCTGCGCCGCCGCTGCCGCCACCGCCGTGGGCACCAGGATCTCTGCGCCGGCCTGGCCCCGCCGCGAGGGCATGACGCCCGGCCCTGCGTCGCCGCCGCCGCTGCCGTGGGCACCAAGGTCTCTGCGCTGGCCTGCCCCCCCCACCCACCCACCCGCCCACCCGGTGCAGGACTGTCGATGCCGTGAGCGCGGTGGGCGCCAGCAGCTTCCAGGGGAGAAGCGGTGGCGGCCATGGGGCTCCCACCTCCACCTCGGGTCCGGCTCCTGCTGGGGCGCACAGCGCGTCGAGCGCGTGCCCCAGAGGCCCTGTGTCTGGCTTCTCTCGAGGCGTGGACCCCTGGAAGTCCCGGCAGGCCGAGACGAGTGAGACACCCTTTCCGTCGCGGTGCTTGCCACGACGCGAGCATGCTTGGGCCGTGCTGGAGCGCACAGCGCTTCGAACACCTGCTGCGTCGGCACCCTCGCAGGCCCCCCCCCCCCCGCGCGCGCGCAGGACGCCTTGTCCCACGACGCCGCCCCCCGCCGGGGCCGCGGCGCACCCGCTGGCGCAGCGGATCCGGAGGCTTCACGAGCAGGCGCGCCGAGTGGGGTACCCCAGGGGGCCCCCTGGGTGGGCCCAGGTGCCCTCCTCGGCGGCGCGCCGGGGGAGGAAGTGGAGAGGCGGAGGAGGAGGAGCAGGAGGAGGAGGAGGAGGAGGAGGCGGAGGAGGAGGAGGAGGAGGAGGACGAGGAGGAGGAGGAGGAGGAGGAGGAGGAGGAGGCAGGCGCCAGACCTCCAAGGGTATAGCGCTTTCAATACCCGGGCGTGTTTCCTCGAGTTCGGCCTCGGGGGCCGGCCACTGCGCCCCGGGACCATCAAGAAGGGGCCTGGGGCGACAGAGTGGCCCGGGGGGAAGGAATCGGGACCTTTGCAGGGCTCATTTCGATTCCTCCGATTCGAGTCGATTCGACTTTGATGGCCTCCGATTCCGACTCGATTCGACGTCGGAGTCCTCGATAACGGCTTACTGGTCTGCCGATTTCCGCCGATTCGAGTTTTCCCGACTCGGCTGCCGATTCCCGCCGATCCGATTCATGTCGATCGCCGGTCCGATTTGTCGATTCGATTCTGGGTTCACTTGCCTTTGTGTGGCCGCGCAGTGAGAGGAGCCCCGACCCCCTCAGGAAAACCACGGCGGACGGTGTTCGGCATTTTGTCTGGCTCCAGGGCCCCTGCCGGGCCCGGGACCTTCAAAAATTTACGCGGGATGAAGCAGCGGTCCCTGGAATGGGGTCGATACTTTCGGGGGGTGCGCGTTGTGAAAAGGTCGCTGCGTCGGGGGTCTGGGAAGTGACAGGGGGCCCTCAGAAGCCCTCGGTCCGGTCTTCGGAGAAGCCCCGTGGGGCTTCGGAGAAGTCTCACAAAAGTGCTCGGAAGGCCTGAGAAGCCTTCTGAGACGTGCCGCCCTCTCTGGGCTCCTCCTCCGACACCAGATACAGTACAGTATACTACGGATCTGGATAGGGTGTGGAGTCAGTTACGAGCAGGTCTTTAAGTATGGGGGGCACCGAGGTGGGA